CGGAGTCTGGAATCTGTTAATGCACGGCTAGGCTGGAAAGCAGTGTATCAAGCAGAAGATGAGGAAGTCAGGAGCTGACTGAGGATGATTTTCTGTCTTAGAGAAGAACATCTATGTGGCACCTTCATTCTTCCCTAGGGAGCTCTTGTTCTTTGCACATCTCCTACCTCTTTCATCCCTGTCCTCCAAGCCTCAGCCCTTTTGGTGTTCAGTTTCACTAGCAAAAGAAAGGGAGAAGCAAGATTCAAGTTTCTTCTTCCTTTTCCCCTTAAGCCAGTGTGTTGTTCAAGCTTTCATCCCAGTTGTAATTTCAGAGCCTTCTCATGTGTGTTGGGTAATCTGCAAGAGGCCAACAGGTCATTGGGCAGTAAGCCCAGGAAACCTGCCTTAGACCCCGGTGGCAGCAGGCCACCAGGTTCCTCTTGTCAGGTCCAGACTTGCTTACTTGATCCCTTAGAAATTTGTGTCCTTGAAAAGTTTGATTATAAAGAGCATTGCCCTGGTAGTTTGTGGTCTGATGCTCAGATTGAACAGTTTCGATTTTGTTTTAGCAGAAAAGAGTGGTTTCCAAAATCAACTTAAACTAGATATAAAATTCTTCCTGGATCAGAAGTATTAGGAAAGACAGTGTTGGTGTATTGGCTTTACTCACGACTTGCTTTTTTTTTTTCTTTTTTTTTTTTTGAGATGGAGTCTCACTCTGTGGCCCAGGCTGGAGTGCAGTGGCCTGATCTCAGTTCACTGCAACCTCTGCCTCCTAGGTTCAAGTGATTCTCCTGCCTCAGTTGCTCGAGTAGCTGGGATTACAGGCACGCACCACCATGCCCAGCTAATTTTTGTATTTTTAGTAGAGAGGGGGTTTCGCCATGTTGGCCAGGCTGGTCTCGAACTCCTGACCTCAAGTGATCCGCCTGCATTGGCCTCCCAAAGTGCTGGGATTACAGACGTGAGCCACTGTACCTGGCCTCAACTTATTATTATTATTATTATTTGAGACAGGATCTCACTCTGTTGCCCAGACTGGAGTGCAGTGGCGCTACATCGGCTCACTGCAACCTCCGCCTCCTGGGTTCAGGCAGTTCTCATGTCTCAGCCTCCCAAGTAGCTGAGGTTACAGGCATGCGCCACCATGCACAGCTAATTTTTTTTTTTTTTTTTTTTTTTTTGAGCTGGAGTCTTGCTCTGTTGCCTAAGCTGGAGTATAGTGGTGCGATCTCAGCTCACTGCAACCTGTACCTCCCGAGTTCAAGCGATTCCTCCTGTCTCAGCCTCCTGAGTAGCTGGGACTACAGGCACATGCCATCACACCCGGCTAATTTTTGTATTTTTAATAGAGACGGGGTTTCACCATGTTGGTCAGGCTGGTCTCGAACTCCTGAGCTCAGGTGATCCGTCCGCCTCAGCCTCCCAGAGTGCTGGGATTACAGGCGTGAGCCACCACTCCCGGCCACAGCTTGTCTTATTACTTGCTCTATCCTACATCCGTTTAGAACCTGGAAACTAAGATTATATTTATAAAGATATTGTTAGCAATTAAGTCAGTCCCAAGAGTGATATTCATGGTACCGATGAGATCAAGGGAAAAGGTTATATCTACCTCATTGGCTCTTGGTGTGAACGTTCTCTCTCCTTTTCTTTCACTTGGCTAACTCCTGTTCAGTTATTCTTTAGGACTTGACTCAGGAAGAGATGGCCTCCAAGAAGCCATCCTAGCAAGGTTACTCTTTTCTTGCCACCCTTTTGCAGCTCTTGTGCAGAATTTGATCAATGCTCTTATCACAGTGTACTGATATCAGCTATTCCCATTACAAGACCATAAACTGAAGGAAGGCAGTTTAAATATTTAAACATGTTTTTCTCTTGGGTTTTGCACAAGAGTTGGAACATTCAATTTACTGATAAAATGAGTATTGTTGGGCCATTTGGTGACTTCTTATTTTCATAGCTTTCCAGAGGAGGAGGCTCCAGTTATCTTTGGTTGGAAATTTACTTGTATCTGTAATTAGTTATTTTTCTGCTGCACTGAAGTCATGTGTATAGTTTCCCCTTCCTGGTAAGAGTTCTTCCCCTTGACTCTTGGGAATTCTTATGAATCAGTGTCAATATTTCTTTGTCCTTTCCCTTTTCTGTAGCACATCACACATGTATCTACCGTGAGTATCTTTTTATAGGTCTGTGTTTATTTGCCTTTTTTCCATTAGCTCCTCCTTAGATCCTTGGTTTTGCCACTTCTTTTTTTTTTTTTTTTTTTTGAGATGGAGTCTCCCTCCGTTGCCCAGGCTGGAGTGCAGTGATGCGATCTCAGCTCACTGCAACTTCCGCCTTCCGGGTTCAAGTGATTCTCCTGCCTCAGGCTCCCGAGTAGCTGGGATTATAGGCACCTGCCACCACACCCAGCTAATTTTTGTGTTTTTAGTAGAGACGGGGTTTCACCACATTGGCCAGGCTGGTCTCGATCTCTTGACCTTGTGATTCACCTACCTCGGCCTCCCAAAGTGCTGGGATTGCAGGCATGAGCCACTGTGCCCAGCCGGTTTTGCCACTTCTTGGCTGTTGATTTGGAGCAAATAACTTCACTTTTTTTAAATTTTTTTTGAGATGGAATCTGGCTCTGTCATCTAAGCTGGAGTGCAGTGGCGCAGTCTTGGCTCACTGCAACCTCCGTCTCCCAGGTTCAAACGATTCTCCCGCCTCAGCCTCCAGAGTAGCTGGGACTACAGGCGTATGCCACCACGCCTAGATAATTTTTGTATTTTTTGGTAGAAATGGGGTTTTACCATGTTGGCCAGGCTGGTCTCTAACTTCTGACCTCAAGTGATCTGCCTGCCTTGGCCTCCCTATGTGCTCTTATTACAGGCGTGAGCCACAGTACCCAGTCTAACTTCACTTCTTTGAGCCTATTTTCTCAACTAAAAAATTAAAGATCTGGATATGGTGGCTCATACCTGTAATCCTGGCAACTCAGGGGGCTGAAGTGGGTGGATAGCTTGAGGCCAGAAGTTCAAGACCAGCCTGGGCAACCTAGCCAAACCCCATCTCTAAAAAAGTTTAAAAACATCCAGGTGAGGCCGGGCGCGGTGGCTCAAGCCTGTAATCCGAGCACTTTGGGAGGCCGAGATGGGCGGATCACGAGGTCAGGAGATCGAGACCATCCTGGCTAACATGGTGAAACCCCGTCTCTACTAAAAAATAAAAAAAAAAAAAAAAACTAGCCGGGCGCGGTGGCGGGCGCCTGTAGTCCCAGCTACTCCGGAGGCTGAGGCAGGAGAATGGCGTGAACCCGGGAGGCGGAGCTTGCAGTGAGCTGAGATCCGGCCATTGCACTCCAGCCTGGGCGGCAGAGCGAGACTCCGTCTCAAAAAAAAAAAAAAAAAAAAAAACCAAAAACATCCAGGTGTGCTGGCACAGGCCTGTAGTCCCAGCTACTTGGAAGGCTGAGGCAGGAATATCACTTGAGCTTAGGAGTTCAAGGCTGCAGTGAACCATGATCATACCACCGTTCTCCAACCTAGGAGACAGAACCAGACCCTGAGTCTAAAAAAAAGTTCCTTTTTTAGGACTCCCTTTACCTCCCTTGTAGGAGCCCACTCAGGCCTACCAGCATGGCTGACCAGACCTCTGTGAAAGGTACTTAGAGAATAGAATCTCTGTAGTTCTTTTTTTGTTTTTTTCTGAGATAAAGTCTCACTCTGTTGCCCAGGCTGGAGTGCAGTGGCGTGATCTCAGCTCACTGCAACCTCCGCCTCCTGGGTTCAAGTGATTCTCCTGCCTCAGCCTCTCGAGTAGCTGGGACTACAGGCGCCCGCCACCACGCCCGGCTGATTTTTTTTATTTTTAGTAGAGACGGGCCTTTACTGAGTTAGCCAGGATGGTCTTGATCTCCTGACCTCATGATCCACCGGCCTCGGCCTCCCAAAGTGCTGGGATTACAGGCGTGAGCTGCCGTGCCCGGCCGAGAATCTGTAGTTCTGACAACCTCCTGGGAATGTTAATTTCATTGCCAGAGAAGTGGTCCCTTCCTGGGCCTATTCAGTTACCTGGTCTCTTTCTCTCATAATGGCCTTTGCCTGCCTTACACTGGCTTGAGACCTTATTTAGTCAAGACTGGGTGCTTCTATGTGGCCATCCTGTTTTTGTTTTTAGATAGTGCAGTTCTTTGATAGAGATCTTTAGCCTGCCACAGAAAAGGGCATCCAAGCTGGTGGTCTGGTCAGTATTTGTTCAGGAGCTACTGGCCATGGTTGGTTTTGGGTACCCTGTCTCCACTGCCCTTGCTCACAGGTACATATATAACCATGTGTTTGTGCTCTACCTCTGTCCCCTCTTCCCCACCCCTTCCTGGCCCATACTTTATAGAGTGCAGTGGCATGATCTCTGCTCACTGCAACCTCCCCCTCCCAGGTTCAAGTGATTCTTGTGCCTCAGCCCCGCGAGTAGCTGGGACTGCAGGTGTGTGCCACCATGCCCCGATAATTTTTGTATTTTTAGTAGAGATGGGGTTTCACCATGTTGGCCCAGCTGGTCTTGAACTCTTTGTTTTTTTTTTTTTTTTTTGAGACAGAGTCTTGCTCTGTCGCCCAGGCTAGAGTGCAGTGGCCCGATCTTGGCTCACTGCAAGCTCCACCTCCCAGGTTCACACCATTCTCCTGCCTCAGCCTCCAGAGTAGCTGGGACTACAGGTGTCTGCCACCACACCTGGCTGATTTTTTTGTATTTGTAGTAGAGACAGTGTTTCACCGTGTTAGCCAGGATGGTCTCGATCTCCTGACCTCATGATCCACCCACCTCGGCCTCCCAAAGTGCTGGGATTACATGAGCCACTGTGCCTGGCCTTGAACTCTTGACCTCAGGTGATCTGTCCGCCTCGACCTCCCAGTGTGCTGGGATTACAGGCATGAGCCACTGTGCCCGGGCGTTTTGCAGTATTCTTGACAGTGGATATCTGAGATCTGAACAACAGCACTAACCCCAACACCATTCTCTTCCCATCTGTGTTTCAGGGGGCAATGGCGGCTTCCTGTGTTCTCCTGCACACTGGGCAGAAGATGCCTCTGATTGGTCTGGGTACCTGGAAGAGTGAGCCTGGTCAGGTGAGGGATGGGGGAAGAAAAGAAAAACTTGTTGAGCCTCTGCCTGCATTTTCCTAGCAGCCCCATCCCCATACTCCCCTTCCAGTGGGGATGAGCCTGGAGAGCAGTGGGAAGAGATGAAGAGACCAGTTATATACCCTGGGCTTCCCCAGCTGACTCAGAGAGTGGGCTGAGGGACCCAGCAGCGCCGGGGGCATAGGAAGGACATGTTTCTCTAACTGGATCTGCACTGAGTGCTGTGGCAGACATGTGGCCCCTCTGTGCCCATCCCTACGCTATGACCCCTAATATGGCAGTTATCACCCTGTGCTGTGATCATGTCTCCTCTCCCACACTGGGTTCTTTGAGGGCTTAGCCTCTCCCTACTGCTCAGTCCAGAATTAGGCACACAGAAGGTGTCAAGGTTTGAAGAATAACTAGGTGGATTGTATAGACCAAAGGTCAGCAAGCTTTTTTTTTTTTTTTTTTTTACTTGAGACAGAGTCTCGCTGTGTTGCCCAGGCTGGAGTGCAGTGGCACGTTCTTGGCTTATGGCAGCCTTGACCTCCTAGGCTCAAAAGTGACCCTCCCACCTCAGCCTCCTGAGTAGCTGGGACCACAGGCACACACTAACATACAGGTCCAGCAAACTTTTTTTTTTTTTTTTTAAATGGAGCAATCCTTTATTTTTACACACTTTGACAAGGAGGTTTTCCGTAAACAACCTTTCCAGTGGAGAACAGAGAACGGGAAAATCAGCCTCCAGACATCACCAGCTGCTCTGCTCAGGGCCGAGGCTCCTCCTTGCCAATGTGGTGAGGTGGAGGGGTGTACTTCCCTTCCTTTATCAGCTTATCCCGCTGCCTCCTGATGGCACCCGCACGTCTCATCGTTTTCTGCCGAAGCAAACACTCTACAAAATCATCATATTCTATCTTGCACTCTTTCTCTGCCCGGATAGCACCAATTCCATGTGCACATTCTATCCATTCTTTTTCAAAAGCATGGCATCGAGTAGCAAGCTTGTAGGGCTGTTCAGCACTCTGGATTGTCCACCATCGATCTATGTTAAGGCCGAACCTTTTCTGGATGTCCAAGAAAGGCATGGCGATCCAATGCTCGTACCCTTGTCTCTTCTCTGGCCGCCGCTTCAGGACGACTCAACTTTTTTTTTTTTGAGACTGAGTCTCACTCTGTTCCCCAGGCTGGAGTACAGTGGCGTGATCTTGGCTCACTGCAACCTCCGCCTCGTCGGTTCAAGTGATTCTCGTGTCTCAGCCTCCTAAGTAACTGGGACTACAGGCACGAGCCACCACACCTGGTTAATTTTTTTATTTTTAGTAGAGACAGGGTTTTACCATATTGGCAAGGCTGCTCTCGAACTCCCGACGTCAGGTGATCCACCTGCCTTGGCCTCCCCAAGTGCTGGGATTACAGGTGTGAGCCACCTCACCCAGTCACAAACTTTTTTTTAAAGAACAAGATGGGGCCAAGTGTGGTGGCTCATACCTGTAATCCCAGCACTTGGGAAGGCCGAGGCAGGAAGAGTGCTTGAGCCCAGGAATTTGAGACCAGACTGGGCAATACAGTGAGACCCCATTTCTACAAAAAATTTAGAAAATTAGAATGTGCCTGTGGTCCCAACTACTCGAGAGGCTGAGTTAGGGGGATTGCTAGAGCCCTGGAAGCCAAGGCTGCAGTGACCTATGATCACACCACTGCACTCCAGCCTGGACAGAGCGAGGCCATCTTAAAAAAAAAAAAAAAGTAGGCTGGACACTGTGGCTCACGCCTGTAATCCCAGCACTTTGGGAGGCCAAGGCAGGTAGATCACAAGGTCAGGAGTTTGAGGCCAGCTTGGCAAATATGGTGAAACCCCGTCTCTACTAAAAATACAAAAATTAGCCGGGCATGGTGGCACACGCCTGTAATCCCAGCTACTTGGGAGGCTGAGGCAGGAGAATTGCTTGAACCTGGGAGGCAGAGGTTGCAGTGAGCCACAATTATGCCACTGTACTCCAGCCTAGGCAACAGAGCAAGACGCCGTCTAGGGGAACAAAAATTAAGGAAAAGAAAATTAAAAAACAATTAGATTATATTGGACAAGTTACAGATGGAGGTGATTATATACTCACGTGACCTTTTAATAAGTAACCACTTAAGCTGGGTGCAGTGGCTCATGCCTGTAATCCCAGCACTTTGGAAGGCTGACGCAGGCAGATCACCTCAGGTTGGGAGTTTGAGACCAGCCTGACCAACACAGAGAAACCCCGTCTACTAAAAATATAAAATTAGCCAGGCGTGGTGGTGCATGCCTGTAATCCCAGCTACTCAGGAGTCTGAGGCAAGAGAATCACTTGAATCCGGGAGGCGGAGGTTGCAGTGAGCCGAGATCGTGCCATTGCACTCCAGCCTGGGTAACAAGAGCAAAACTCCATCCCAAGAAAAATAATAATAAAATAAATACATAACCACTTAAAAATGTAAATGTAGTTCTTAACTCAAGGACTATTAAAGTTGATGATTGACCCCTGGTGTGGACCCTCCCAGCTGAGGGGAGTCTGGGAGTGTAGACCTGCTCTCTTAGGGTGGACGTAGCTATGAGATTTGGCTCCTGCCTGGAATGGGGCATTTCCCCAGCGCTTCTTCCTTCTTCCTTGGAAATCTGGAGTCAGAGTGAAGACAAGTTTGGGGATTACGTTTGAGAGAAGTACCAGCAGAGAGAACAGATTCTTCTATCTGGAACTTAAACTGGTATTTGTGGTGTGCTTGGATGACCTATGTCTTTTTTCCCTTTTGCTTTCTTTCCTATAGCTGCTTAGGAGCTTGGAGCCAGGGTCCCTGTGCTTCAGGCAGGCACTTGTCACAGCCTCGGACAAGTCCATGAGCTAGGTCAAGGCAGGGGGTGGGGGCCACAGCCAAGGCCAAGTCGGGGCATAGAACAGCAGGGGTCAGATGTTAAGGGAAGTACGTCTGCACCCAGGTGGGTATCTTGAATACTATGCCAGGCACCCACAATAAGAGCTTTGGGTGCTTTGTGTCTAAGGCTGGGTACCCTTGGTTCTGCTGCTGATGCCATGTTTCCAGTCTGGATTTTAGCAAAATTAACTAACCCATCCTTCTACCTGATGCCTGTTTTCTTCTCTCTCATTAGGGGGTTCTGGGTCCAGCTTTCAGCCCACTTATCTGCCTTCCTTAATCTTTTCCCCCTTCTAACCTCTTTTGCTGGCCTGTGCTCTCAGAGCTCCCAGAGTCTGTCTACATGACTTCCTGTATGTTGTTGGCCTAGGAATTTTTTCTTATGTTTCTCTAACTAGCTCCTTAGAACCTGGAACTTGTTTCTATGGTCTATACTTCTTTTTTCTGTCTATTTATCCATCTGTCTTCTGATTGAAAAAAAATTTTTTATTATTTATTTTTTAAATTTTTAAAAATTTATTTATTTAATTTATTTTTGAGATGGAGTCTTGCTCTGTCACCTAGGCTGGAGTGCAGTGGCACGATCTCAGCTCACTGCAAGCTCCGCCTCCCGGGTTTACGCCATTCTCCTGCCTCAGCCTCCCAAGTAGCTGGGACTACAGGTGCCCGCCACAATGTCCGGCTAATTTTTTGTATTTTTAGTAGAGACAGGGTTTCACCATGTTAGCCAGGATGGTCTCGATCTCCTGACCTTGTTATCTGCCCACCTTGGCCTCCCAAATTGCTAGGATTACAGGCGTGAGCCACTGCGCCCAGCCAATTTTTTTTTTTTTTTTTTGAGACGGAGTTTCACTCTTGTTGCCCAGGCTGGAGTACAATGGCACCATCTTGGCTCACTGCAACCTCCACTTCCCGGGTTCAAGCGATTCTCTTGCCTCAGCCTCCCAAGTACCTGGGATTATAGGCATGTACCACCATGCCCAGCTAATTTTGTATTTTTAGTAGAGACGGGGTTTCTCCATGTTGGTTAGGCTGATCTCAAACTCCCGACCTCATGTGATCCGCCTGCCTCGGCCTCCCGAAGTGCTGGGATTACAGATGTGAGCCACCATGCCTGGCCTTTATTTAAAAAAAAAAAAAATTGTTTTTAATTTTTTTTGTTTTTTTTGTGTGTGTTTTTTTGAGATGTAGTCTCACTCTGTCTCACCCAGGATGGAGTGCAGTGGCATGATCTCAGCTCACTGCAGCCTCCTCCTCCTGGGTTCAAGCGATTTTTCTATCTCAGCCTCTTGAGTAGCTGGGACTACAGGCATGTGCCATCATGCACAGCTAATTTTTGTATTTTTAGTAGAGATGGAGTTTCACCATGTTGGCCAGGCTGGTCTTGAACCCCTGACCTCAGGTGATCCATCTGCCTCGGCTTCCCAAAGTGAGCCACCACGCCTGGCCTTAATTTTTTTTTTTAAGAGGTGGGGGTTCTCGCTATGTTGACTAGGCTAGTCTCAAACTCCTGCCCTCAAGCAATCCTCCCATGTCTGCCTCCCAAAGTCCTAGGATTACAGGCATGAGCCACCATGCTCAGCCTGAAAAAATATTTACTAAAGCCCTCTTTATGGTAGATGCCGGAAAAATATTGTTAGTTTTTGCTAGACCTTGCTGAGATGGCTTGGGTAGGAAGGCATCTTAGAGACTGGTTGGGGTGGGAGCAGAGCAAAGGGTTTGGAGCCTCTGAAGAGGCTTCTGGTCCCTTAGACTGAAACTATCTTCCATCTTTCTTTTTTTTTTTTTTGCGACGGAGTTTCGCTCTTGCTGCCAAGGCTGAAGTGCAGTGGCACAATCTCAGCTCACTGCAACCTCTGCCTCCTGGGTTCAAGTGATTCTCCTGCCTCAGCCTCCTGAGTAGCTAGGATTACAGGCACCTGCCACCACACCCGGCTAATTTTGTGTTTTTAGTAGAGATGGGGTTTCACCTTGTTGGCTAGGCTGACCTCCAGCTGGCCAGGCTGGTCTCGAACTCCTGACCTCAGGTGATCTGCCCACCTCAGCCTCCCAAAGTACTGGGATTACAGTACAGGCATGAGCCACCGCGCCCAGTTCATCTTCCATCTTTTCACCTCCACTGCATAGATGTGCCTGCTATATTTCTGACCGCCCCTCCCCGAGCATTGACCTTGGGGTGGCGACAGTAGAAGGCTGAAACCCATAGAGCTGAAACCTCTGCTTCTCTCACCTGGCAGGTAAAAGCAGCTGTTAAGTATGCCCTTAGTGTAGGCTACCGCCACATTGATTGTGCTGCTATCTACGGCAATGAGCCTGAGATTGGGGAGGCCCTGAAGGAGGACGTGGGACCAGGCAAGGTAAGGACTGGGGTTGTAAAGAGAGGTGGGGTGAGATAACTTAGAAGCTGGGGCTGGGGCCCAGCTGGAGGGAATCTGGCATCAGCTTCCTTCCGTTCCTCTCTCAGAGTTGAGCGTGGGTGAGACCAGGTGTTTGTGGCTCTTCTCACTGTAGGCCCTTCCCCCTGTACTAGGCGGTGCCTCGGGAGGAGCTGTTCGTGACATCCAAACTGTGGAACACCAAGCACCACCCCGAGGATGTGGAGCCTGCCCTCCGGAAGACTCTGGCTGACCTCCAGCTGGAGTATCTGGACCTGTACCTGATGCACTGGCCTTATGCCTTTGAGTGAGCCTTGCCAGAGCCTCATCTGGGGAATCAGGGGGTTTAGCAGGATGATGTTAGTAACTTATTGTAAGTCACAGCAGCAGAGCAGGATACAAACACTCATTTGCATGGCAAGCTGAGGAGCCTGACCTGGGATCTTAGCCTCTTCTGCTACAGCAGCTTAGCTGTAGCTACAGGAGTTTAACTCTAGAAAAATGAAGGCAGTCTCACATGGTATTTACCCTAGGGTGTGCACCTGTAACCCTCCTGCTCCCTTTATTCATTCAGAAAAGGTGCTGACTTTTCTGTTGAGCATCTGGGGTTAGAGTAATAAGTACGTCTCAGCAGAAGATGTGAGAGGAGCCCACCATTAGTGCCGTGCCCTGTGCTGGAAGAAGGGCGGATAACTCCCTGAGGATGAGTTAAGAAAGACTTCCTAGGGGAGAGGAGATATCTAGGTCTAGGAAGAGGAGGGGGCATAGGCATTCCATGTAAACTTAACACCTGAGTTACGATCTGAAAGGATGAAAAAGCATGACTATTTTTAGCTGGGCATGGTGGCTCACACCTGTAATCCCAGCACTTTGGGAGGCCGAGGCGGGCAGATCATGAGGTCAGGAGATCGAGACCATCCTGGCTAACACAGTGAAACCCTGTCTCTACTAAAAATACAAAAAAATTAGCCAGGTGTAGTGGCAGGCGCTTGTAGTCCCAGCTACTCAGGAGGCTGAGGCAGGAGAATGGCGTGAACCCGGGAGGCGGAGCTTGCAGTGAGCCAAGATCGTGCTGCTGCACTCCAGCCTGGGCGACAGAGTGAGACTGTGTCTCAAAAAAAAGAAAGAGAGGCCGGGCGCGGTGGCTCAAGCCTGTAATCCCAGCACTTTGGGAGGCCGAGGCGGGCGGATCACTAGGTCAGGAGATCGAGACCATCCTGGCTAACAGGGTGAAACCCCGTCTCTACTAAAAAATACAAAAAAAGCTAGCCGGGCGACGTGGCGGGCGCCTGTAGTCCCAGCTACTCGGGAGGCTGAGGCAGGAGAATGGCGTAAACCCGGGAGGCGGAGCTTGCAGTGAGCTGAGATCCGGCCACTGCACTCCAGCCCGGGGACAGAGCGAGACTCCGTCTCAAAAAAAAAAAAAAAAAAAAAAAAGAAAGAAAGAAAAAAGAAAAAGCATGGCTTTTTAAAAATTCTTGGCCCTTTGTCCTCTCTGGGATTGGAGTTTGGGACACAGAGTGGCTGGATGGTCAGGTAGGGCAGAAGCCTGGCATTTGTGTCCACACTTGGTGGGGCTGTCTCTCACTCAGGCGGGGAGACAACCCCTTCCCGAAGAATGCTGATGGGACCATATGCTACGACTCCACCCACTATAAGGAGACTTGGAAGGCTCTGGAGGCACTGGTGGCTAAGGGGCTGGTGCGGGCACTGGGCCTGTCCAACTTCAATAGTCGGCAGATCGATGACATACTTAGTGTGGCCTCCGTGCGTCCAGCTGTCTTGCAGGTAAGGACAGCAAGCAGATGAGTGGTTTAGGGGTTGGGTGCTCAAGAGCATGAGTGAGCAAACAATGGATCTGCTTAAGGGAGATGGCTAGCAAGTTGTCAGAGTGTTGGTGCAGAAGTCCTCTGCCTAAAGGTGGGCATTGAAGCAGTGGGAGAGAATGAAATTGCCAATGGGAAATGGTGAGAAAAACAGGCTGAAGGGGAGTGGGGGAGTCAGCAATAGGGGGTTGGTCCAGACATGCATGTCTGGGATGGCCAAGCAAGCTGGGTGTGACCACTTCATGGTGATGGGTTATTCTTTGGCTCAGGTGGAATGCCACCCATACTTGGCTCAGAACGAGCTAATTGCCCACTGCCAAGCACGTGGCCTGGAGGTAACTGCTTATAGCCCTTTGGGCTCCTCTGATCGTGCATGGCGTGATCCTGATGAGCCTGTCCTGCTGGAGGAACCAGTAGTCCTGGCATTGGCTGAAAAGTATGGCCGATCTCCAGCTCAGATCTTGCTCAGGTACGGGGCAGTCTTAGGGAGAGGGCCCTGAGTTGGGAGGCAAGGGTTAAGGGATTTCTTGTTTCAGTGTCTGAGTGAGGCTGAGGATCTTGCCCTGTGATCTGGAGGGAGGCCACTCTAGGCATATTCCCCATTGCAGCAGGGCTCAGGTGCTCTAGGAGCTTAGGGAAGGCTGCATGGAGAACAAAATAATGCTTATGAATACTGACTCCTTTTCCTCATCTATCTAATCCCCCAACTTAGGTGGCAGGTCCAGCGGAAAGTGATCTGCATCCCCAAAAGTATCACTCCTTCTCGAATCCTTCAGAACATCAAGGTACTTGGTAATGGGTTCTATCTTCTTTAGCTCTTTGGGACATTTTCTTGGCCCTGACTCTACCTGGGTAAAAAGGCAGTGTTGTGGAACCCCAGCTTCTGCTCACAAAGCTGTTGTTCCTGAACCCCACTCTCCATCCTCAGGTGTTTGACTTCACCTTTAGCCCAGAAGAGATGAAGCAGCTAAATGCCCTGAACAAAAATTGGCGATATATTGTGCCTATGCTTATGGTGAGGATGTATCAGGCCCCTAGACTTGGCGAATGTGAGATTTGGGGTGGGATTCTGGCCCAGGTGTGACCTCAGGCTTGCTGGTTGTGAGAGGGACACAATGTTGTGGGTGGGATTGCTATGCTGGACATAGTGCTCTCATTTCTCTTTATTGAGCTCAGGGAAGTATGGCTCAGGGATAAGGCATATAACCTGTGAGTCTCAGTGCTGCTTCTTGATATCTTGCAACCTAGAGCAAGTTATTAAAGTTCTCCAAGCCTCAGCTTCCTATGTGTAAAATGAGCCCAGTTCCTGACATGTAGTAGATTCTCAGTAAATGATATGAGGAGAGCCCAGAAGGCATTGTTGACCTCACTCGAGGGGTTGGGTTGGGAGGGAAGTCTGCTGTGCTTAGGGAAATAAATGGTTCCTGGCCTCTTGATCTCAGTTGAGACTGCACACTCTTAGGGGCAGGGGCAGCTACGTATCAGGCTATGGGTTTGGTGCTAGAATGCTGTTGATACTGTGATGTTCTCTGAGATGGGGATCCTGGCCACTGCCATCTGATGTAATGTTGTACACAGATTAGTTTGTTTAGGAAGATTTGGGGAAGATGCCTGGAGTCTTTGGAATGGCAACTCCTGCTGATGCAGTAATCTATCTGTCTCTCTTTCCAGGTGGATGGGAAGAGAGTCCCAAGGGATGCAGGGCATCCTCTGTACCCCTTTAATGACCCGTACTGAGACCACAGCTTCTTGGCCTCCCTTCCAGCTCTCCAGCTAATGAAGTCCTGCCACAGTGGAAAGAGGGAGTTAATAAAGCCATTGGAGCATCCATATTGCTTGCTTGTCTTATTTGCCTGGTCAGGCCTGAGATGGAGGCTGTTTCCCTCAGGGATGACAGACCTAGGGCTGCTGGATGTGACCTGCCCTTGAAGCCCAAATATTCGTTCTGGAGGAACCTGTGAAGAGGCTGAGTAATTCCTTATCCTTGCATTAGGCATGTTGGGAAGTAGCGCCATCTACTGGCAAATCTTAAGCACTGCAATGCTTCCCTAGAGTCTTCAAGAATGCCTCAGGAGTGAGCAATCAGGGCAATGATTGTCCTATTGGTTTCAAGGCAGTGCTGGACCTGGGCCCTGAGTTTCCATCCCCCTGTCCTGATCAGTGCCTAGGTTTAGCAATATGAAGAGTCCAAACGACTTACATTCAGAAGTTAGGGAATCGCAGCTTGCAAAATCACAAAAGGTGGGGACAGGGGCTTTTTCCATCAGACACTATGATCAGTGTGCATAGGTGACCTGCAGGAGGCAGAGTCCAGCCCAGACCTTGTCACTTGGCCCCTAAGGCCCTATCTTATGCACTTTTTATTGGTGGCCACCAGAGGCCACTGATAAACAGGTTTTAGGAAGGTTTTTGGCAAATCTCTCTAAACTCCAGTCACGTGAAACTCATTTTACTTTCCCAAACTGTTGCTCTTCTTTCAAGAAGTATTTATTGGGTACTTATGGGTTAGGCCTGATGCTAGGCCCTGGGGATATAGCTATAACCAAGACACAGAAGTCCCTACAGCCTACTTGAGGAGACAGACTAAGTAATTGCATAATTAGTTTAATTACAGTTGGAAGAAGTGTTATGAGAAGTGCAGGGTGAGTAGCCTACTTATTTAATCAGCTAAGATTGAAAGATGAATAGGGATTAATTAGTTAAAGGAGGTAAGAGTGGGAACAGCATTCCATACAAATTGGACAGCTTAGGGAAAAGTCTTGAAACTGGAAGATGCTGCTGGAAAAACCTAAAGAAGATTTGTATTGACAGCAACTAAAAGTAAGGGGGACCTGGCGGTAGAGGTGATAGCATAAAACAATGCTGGAATTTTTAGGAACTGATGATTGGAAGGCCTAGAAGACTGTTGAGATTCTATTATTTATTTATTTTTTTTGAATTGAGGTCTCTGTCACCAAGGCTCTAGTGTAGTGGCACAATTGTGGCCCACTGCAGCCTTGAACTCCTGGGCTCAATCCTGATTTTTAAAATATTTTTGGCTGGGTGTGGTGGCTCACGCCTGTAATCCCAGCACTTTGGGAGGCCAAGGTGGGTGGATCACCTGAGGTCGGGAGTTTGAGACCAGCCTGACCAACATGGAGAAACCCCATTTCTACTAAAAATACAAAATTAGCCGGGCATGGTGGCACATGCCTGTAATCCCAGCTACTCGGGAGGCTGAAGCAGGAGAATCACTTGAACCAGGAGGCGGAGGTTGTGGTGAATTGAGATCGTGCCATTGCACTCCAGCCTGGGCAACAAGAGCAAAACTCCATCTCCAAAAAAATATATATATATTATATATATGTATATATAAATTATATATATAAAATATTATTTTTTGAGATAGTGTGTTGTGATGTTGTCTAGTCTGATCTTGAACTCCTGGGCTAAAGGGATCCTTCTATCTTGGCCTCCCAGAGTGCTAGGATTATAGGTGTGAGTCACTGCACCCAGCTCCAGTTTTTTTTCTTTTTTTCCCTTAATGCAATGGGAAACGATGGAAGAGTTTTCAGCAGGAGTAACATGTCATAATTTGTGCCTTACAACAGCATGGTGGCTCATGCCTGTAATCCTACTACTTTGGGAGGCTGAAGAAGGCTGATTGCTTGAGCCTAGGAGTTTGGGACTAGCCTGGGCTTCATGGCAAAATCCTGTCTCTACAAAAAATACAGAAATTAGCTGGGCATGGTGGCATGCACCTATAGTCCCAGCTAGTTGGGAGGCTGAGGTGGGAGGATCACCTGAGCCTGGGGAGACTGACGCTGCAGTGAGCCATTATTGTACCACTGCACCCCAGCCTGGGTGACAGACTGTGTCTCAAAAAAAAAAAAAAAAAAAAAACCAGAAAAAAAAACAAAAACCACTCCAGTTCAGTAGAAACAATGGATTAGAGGAGTGGATCAAATGGATCAAAAGGAGGTGGAAGAAAGCATGAAAGCATGTTGGAAGTTAGTCTTTTTTTTTTTTTTTTTTAATGACAGAGCCAGTCGGGCACGGTGGCTCACGCTTGTAATCCCAGGACTTTGGGAGGCCGAAGCAAGAGGATCACGAGGCCAGGAGATCAAGACCATCCTGGCTAACACAGTGAAACCCTGTTTCTACTAAAAATAGAAAAAAAATTAGCTGGGCGTGGTGGCGGGCGCCTGCAGTCCCAGCTACTCAAGAGGCTGAGACAGGAGGATCGCTTGAACCTGGGAGGTGGAGGTTACAGTAAACCAAGATTGCGCCACTGCACTCCAGCCTGGCAACAGAGCAAGACTCCATCTCAAAGAAAAAAAAATTGCACTGTCACCCAGGCTGGAGTGCAGTGGTGTGATCTCTGCTCACTGCCACCTCCGCCTCCCAGGTTCATGTGATTCTCCTGCCTGAGCCTCCGGAGTAGCTGGAATTACAGGCGCCCACGACCATGCGCAGCTAATTTTTTGTATATTTAGTAGAGATGGGGTTTCACTGTGTTGGCCAGGCTGGTCTTGAACTCCTGACCTCGTGATCCGCCCACCTCAGCCTCCCAAAGTGCTGGGATTATAGGCATGAGCTGCTGTACCCAGACAAAAATTGTTATTATTTATTTATTATTTATTTATTTATTTTTGAGACAGAGTCTGGCTCTGTCACCCAGGCTGGAGTGCAGTGGCGCGATCTCAGCTCACTGCAAGCTCTGCCTCCCAAGTTCACGCCATTCTCCTGCCTCAGCCTCCCGAGTAGCTAGGACTTCGAGTAACTGTGACTACAGGCGCCTGCCACCACGCCTGGCTAATTTTTTGTATTTTTAGTAGAGACGGGGTTTTACCATGTTAGCCAGGATGGTCTGGATCTCCTGTCCTCGTGATCCGCCTGCCTGGGCCTCCCAAACTGTTGGGATTACAGGCGTGAGCCACTGCACCCGGTTTATTATTATTATTATTATTTTCTTTTTTTCTTTTTTTTATTTTTGAGACGGAGTCTCGCTCTGTAGCCCAGGCTGGAGTATAGTGGTGCAATCTTGGTTCACTGCAAGTTCTGCCTCCCAGGTTCACACCTCTCTCCTGCCTCAGCCTCCTGAGTAGCTGGGACTACAGGCGCCCGCCACCACGCCCGGCTAATTTTTTGTATTTTTTTAATAGAGACAAGGTTTCTACTGTGTTAGCCAGGATGGTCTCGATCTCCTGACCTCGTGATCCGCCCGCCTCGGCCTCCCAGAGTGCTGGGATTACAGGCATGAGCCACCGCGCCCGGCTTATTATTATTATTTTCTGAGATGGAGTCTTGCTCTGTCACCCAGGCTGGAATGCAGTGGCGCAATCTTGGCTCACTGTAACCTCCGCCTCCCCGGTTCAAGTGATTCTCCTGCCTCAGCCTCCCGAGTAGCTGTGAATACAGGCGCCTGCCACCAAGCCTGGCTAATTTTTGTATTTTTAGAAGAGAATGGTTTTCGCCATGTTGACCAGGCTGGTCTTGAACTCCTGAACTGAAGGAGCTCTCCTGCCTCAGCCTCTCGCAGTGCTGGGATTACAGGCATGAGCCACCACACCCCGTCTCATGCAATGCATAATAACACATCAGAGTAAATGGGGTATCCATCCCCTCAAGTATTTACCCTTTGTGTTACAATCTAATTATACCCTTAGTTATTTTAAAATGTACAATTAAATTATAATTGATTATAGTCACCTTGTTGTGCTATCAAATACTAGGGCTTATTCATTCTTTCTATTTTTTGTAACCATTAACCATCCACACCTCCCACAGCCCCCAACTACCTTTCCCAGCCTTTGATAACCATCCTTCTACCCTCTATCTCCATGAATTCATTTAAAAAAAAATTTTCAGATCCCACAAATAAGTGAGAACATGTGATGTTTGTATTTCTGTGCCTTGCTTATTTCACTTAGCATAATGACCTCCAGTTTCATCCATATTGTTGCAAATAACAGGATTCATTCGTTTTTATGGCTCCTTCGTGTATAAGTACCACATTTTCTGTATCCTTCATCTGTTAAAGGACACTTATGTTGCTTCCAAATCTTCCTCTTAGGCTCAAGCAATCCTCCCACCTCAGCCTTCTGAGTAGCTGGGACCACAGGTATGCACCATCTCATGTGGATAATTTTTTTTTTTTTTTTTAAATTTTTGTAGAGATGAGGTCTCCTTATGTTGCCCAGGCTGTTTTTTGTTTGTTTGTTTGTTTGTTTTGTGATGGAGTCTCGCTCTGTCACCCAGGCTGGAGTGCAGTGGTGCCATCTCAGCTCATTGTAACCTCCCACCTCCCAGGTTCAAGCCATTCTCCTGCCTCAGTCTCCCGAGTAGCTGGGATTACAAGTGCCCGCCAAGACATCTGGCTCATTTTTTGTATTTTTGGTAGGGATGGGGCTTCCCCATGTTGGCCAGGTGGGTCTTGAACTCTTGACCTCCAGTGATCTGCCCGCCTTGGCCTGCCAAAGTGCTGGGATTACAGGCGTGAGTCATCGCACCTGGCCCTCCCAAACTGGTTTTGAACTCCTAGGTTCAAGACTCCTAGGTTCTTGGCCTGCCAAAGTGTTGGGATTACAGGTGTGAGCCACTGCACCCAGCTGCTCCCAAATCTTTGTGAACAGTGCTGCAACAAACACGGAAGTGCAGATCTCTCTGATACACTGATTTCCCTTCTTTTGGGTATATACTCAGCAGTGAGATTGCTGGATCATATCGTAGCTCTATTTTTAGTTTTTTAAGAAACCTCTAAAATGTTCTCCATAGTAGTTGCACTAATTTACATTCCCACCAACAGTGTTTGAGGGTTCCCTTTTCTCCACATCCTCACCAGCATTTGT